ACTTGGGCATGCCTGCTGAAGACTAATTTGAGTGACATTTCACTCTGTTACACAGCTCATTTGGGGATGTCTTCCAGAAAGCGAGCACAGCTTTCATTCTGGCTAGTACTTCTACCTGCACAATAGCTTAGGGAATGTGGAAGGACGTTCGGACTCTCCAAAGGATCAGCTCTACAAGACATTGAAGAAGCAGCTCCATTTACTGCTGCAGACAGTGTCCCAGAGGCTGTGGAGAGCTGCTCTGAGCCATGCAGCAGCAGTGGCTTGTCTGTCGCTTTGCCATCACGTACGTGCATCTAAACAGGACCAAACCAAGTGAACCTGAATGAGCTCATTCAGGAGCTGTCAAGGCAGCATGTAGTATTAAACAGCCATAACTATGCTGAGTTACTCGGTGTTTCAGTGTCGTCGTGGGCATTGTCCTTCCTTTTTCTCTCTGCTCAAATTTCTTTTCCAGAAATCGAAGAACATGTAGAAGTCCCGTTTTCTTTGTTGTAAATTGCAAATACAGTTCCCAACTTCAAGTACTTAGCCTAACTATCTTTTGATAGCTGGTTGGTATATTAATAGACAAGCAGTGGTTGCCAAGAAGCCAAAAATCTCTCAGTGCGGTTCCCAATGTCTACACTAATATTTAAGGCTGATAAATTGACTTTATTAACCAAGGGTGGGCAGAAGGCCAGGAGCAGAGGACACAGAGAAGTGGAAATAACAGGCTGCTGCTGCTTTCTGTACTGGAAGGGTAGATGAAGAACCAGTTTTGTATGCTCCCCCCAGTGTGGAGTACCAACCTTGCCTCCAGCTTGCATAAGAAGTGAATCTATATGATTTGCTTAACTGCCTCCACATCAAAAATGCTGCCAAACACTGAGCCCTGCAATGCTCACTTCCCATTTGTGAATTAGAAGGATGTTCTTCCTATTTGGCCTTCTTATCAGGTAATCCCCTGTATATTAATAAGACTTTGGGGTTTTCCCTATTGCAAAGATACGGGCTTCAAAGCTGAAATACATGCAGTTTTATTTACGTCTTAAATAGCAAAGAGGGAACTGTCTAGTGGTAACAAAAGATTATGAGATTCTGCTGTTTCCTTTTGTTTCGGTTGTAGTCCAAGGGTGTTCTTTGGCTTACAATTGAAAGGCACTGTGAGACAAAATAGCACAAAACTTGCTTGGGTTTTCTTCTGTCACTGAAGCGATGTGTTAGTTAAAGAGGAGCAAAAGGAATTGAACAATTTGAGTCAGCTTGAAAAAGGCAGACTTTTTTTTTTTTATTTTACACTTTATCCTTCTTTGGGTGGCTGGATAATACCTAACAAATTTTTGGCATGATGAAAATAGTAAATCCATGGGTGGTAAAGGAGTAAAAGTAAGCACCGCTCCCAGAAGTATAAACGCAGTTGTGTAGCTCGGTTTATAGGCCTCTAGTAAGAAACAGCTGTAGCGAGACGTGCAGCTACAGTCTCTGCATATCGCAGCAACACCTCCTCGATGCTTGCCTTCGGTGTGAGGAGGAGGACTGGAGCATGCAGAGCAGAACAGTTTGTTGTTCCAGTCTTTCACAGGCTTTTAAACACGAATGTGTTTTACTGCTAACAACCTGTTTGTGTGGGGGAACGGAAAAGGCAAGAAATTGAAGTGTCAACTGTGGGCATATTTTTCTTCAGTCACTGCAAGGTTCTTTTTATTTTTTTCCTTCCTCCCTCCATTACGACTGTCCTCTTCTGCAAGCCATTAAGCAACTCACTAGGAGATACCAAGCCAGAGGCTCTACAAAGAAAGCTTTTCTTGGCTTTTGCTCTTTCCTGCTTTCAGCAGCTGCTGCAAAAAATTGCATTTTTAGCCTGTGTTTTACCTGGGCTTTGGGCTGCCTATAAGCCGGCTTTCTCTAGGCATAGTCTGACACTATTTAACTCCTTGTACAAAGAACCCAAGAGCAAATCGGATAAAAGCATGAAGGTGGTCACAGCCCGAATGAGTATGATAGAAATTTCTCTTCGTGGGTAGGTTTTTCCTGTGTCCCTGCTGCAGAAGAGCATTTTAGCAATGGAAATTGTAGGAAGGAGGAGATCGGCAAGGAAAGGCCATCAAACTGTGATTTGGGTTCCAGAGGAGCCTTTCTATGAGTTTCTTCCTCTGTGTCATCCCTCTCTTAGAATAAATTACTGAATTTGATTAGGAAAATGAAACAGGCTGTTTTAAATGAGACTGATGAAGTAAAATGGCATTTAGCTTTTAAATTAGGCTGTATTTGTTACATGGTGGGGTCTTTCTAGGCAAAATGTCAGTGATGAAGAATTACACCAGCATGCAGCACCTAGCACACCTGAGCAGTCCCCTTTCTACCTTTAGCTCGGGACTGATTAGCACTTGATACTCAGGCTGTGTCTAGTGGGTTTTGTTGGTTTGCTTTTTTTTTTCCCCAATTTATGTGCTGTACCCCAGCAAGGCGACTGGAATTAGCTAACAGTTTTGTATAAAGTACAAGCCAGAACCAATTAGCCTTTCAAATAGTTTTGCTTTGTTTAGCTCTACAGAGCAGAACACACAGTAGTAGCAGTTTAGTTACTGAAGTTATTTGATCTCACTCTGAATGCAAATAAAGAGCTGTTGTGCTGAATGACTTTGCATAGTCAATATTGGAGCTTACTTTTACCTGTTGTCAAACATAAGGGCTCCGTTGTCTGTCTTGTTCTGTATATACGTGCTGATAATATGGTGTGCGCTACTAACCTCATCCTTAAAGCTAAAAGGAGTTTGAAAATTTGCCTTTATGGACTTTTGAAAGGTAGGCTTCACTGTGCACTATTACAGCAATCTATTTTATGTCAGATGAGTAGACAGGTGCATATGCTTGCAGGACAGTAATAGCTGAATGCCCCAGTTACAGCAGAGGGAGAGGTAGTCCGTGCCTTGAAGACAACGTAGTCTAAGAGAAGGAAAGGTATGAGGAGGTCAGTAGAACATGGTAAGGACGTTTGTAAACGCACCTCTGTGAGGTTTAGTGGCTTTTAAAAATAGGCAGCAAAGGTTGATCATTTTTCTGTGTCATGTCAACACGGCAGCATTAGATAGGAGTTAACGAAAAGCAAAATGTGAGTCGGTGAACAGTGAACAAGGAAGCGAAAAATAGCGAGGGGCTTGTGGGCCACTGGAGAAAGGCAAAGAGCAAAGCACAACTGCTTGAAACAAACTGCCTTTTGGCAGGAGGAAGACAGTGTTCAGAATAAAAAGCATGGAGAGTAATTTAATGTCACTGGGGTCCGAAAATCCTCCCTTCTGCAGTGGCTTCTGTGTCACTTTTCAGGCATGACTGACCACCTTTCTTCTCTTCTTTAGCCTATACGTCTTGGAGATGGTGTTATGTGGATCCGAAGCTTGTGAATATAGAAAGGGAGAGTGACTTAAAGATCACGAGGCAGAAAATCAATGATTGCTTTGACTTTTTATATAAGTCAGGCGATTACATTCAAATTCATCAAGCCTACAGTGAGCCAGATTTTGCTCACAGATCTTTTCAGAGATAATACAATTAGATTGAATCCCAACAATCTGTAATAGTTGGTTTTAAATGCTTCCTGGAAAGTTCCTTCCATACTGGTGCTCAGTGTGGGCATAGTGCGTAGTCTATTTAGGTGTTTGCTTTCAGGAAAAAATATTAATCAAATATCAGTGAAGGTAGTATAGCTTTCAGAAACAGTTTTAGCTGATGCTTACGCAATCCTGGGCTAAAATGCACAGATGCAGAAGAGATGATAGGAGTTATTTACCATTTTGATTTCAGGGTGCTTACTGAGTGCCATCTAGCGTTTGCCTTCTAATTCAAAAAAGTGAAACAGTGGTTCTACACAACTGACTTTTCCTGTAATTGCATAAAGGGCATGGTTTATAATCATACTTTTATTTGAAACTTTTACGGAAGACTTTCTGGAGAGGAAGTTAGAGGGGATACTGACTAAGAAATAAAAATCAACAGAGGCTTCAAAAATTTTTTACTCCTGTAGTGTTTTATTAAGTCTCTTGAATCCAACTGCTGAATTTTGTATCTCTTTTTATTTCCAGATCATGTATGGAACGCTAGTTTCCATTATAGTTCTACGATCTGTTTATATAGTATTATGGTAAGTAACTGTTTAGTTCAGCATTATAAGATATAACTTAGCATTTGCATCTTTTTTTGGTGGGCTTAACATGAGAAATTGGCAGTGGCAAAATTTCTTTAACTAGGTACATAATGCTAGCTCGCGTGCTCTGCTTGGTCGAAAGGGAATGGCTCATCTCGCATTTTTTTCGAAGCTACTGGGATAACATTGAACAAAACTGAGATCTCTACGCTTATGATCAGTGTTCGCTGCCGAGTGTTCTGCTAGTGGCTTCAGCTGTTAGCCTGGGACTTCAAGGGGAATGGAGTTTCTGTCTTCATATTGCTGGGTAACGTGAAATCTATTGCCGGTGTCCAAAATCTAATGATGATACTTGGACAGAGGTGAGAGTAAGACTGCAGAGCTGAACCATCGGTTAATATTTTCCTTTCCTCTTCCCTACTCAAGTGTCTAAAATTCAAATGTAAAAGGTAATAACACAGAAGGTTAAATGATAGTTTTCCTTACAGTTTTGACTGGGTACGCTATGGAACTTGAAATAAAAACTATTTATAAGAAACAAAATGGTAGTAGAAATGTTAGGAGACATTGAGAAGCATTAGAATCGTCAGAGCACAGACTTGGTGGGTAAAAGTGAAGAAAAAGGAATTGAATCAGGATTGGAGTAAACGCATACCTTTAACTCAAAGGGGCTTGGCTGGTTGCCCCTTCCCATCTCTCCCGTGGGAATAGTTGGTGTTCTCATGGGTCTGGGGATTACCCCTGAAAATCGCTGATTTCTCTCTACTGTCTTCATTCCACGCGTGCTTTTTGTTAAACTTCGTTTCGAGTTACACACGTATCTGTTGAGGAACACAAGGAAGAATTTAACAAAAAGCGTGAATTTAAAGCAGATTCATTGAATCACCTTCCAGTTGCAACTTCAGTTAATTTGGTTCGCCTTTCCCCAAGAAATCCCCGCAGACCAAGCGTAAACGTTCACAGACTTTTATTAATCAAGAAGAACTTAAAACTGATAGTGCTTTGCTTGCAGCTTTAGAAACAATCATCAGTGTAAAGGCGCTTTTCAAACCCATCAACATGGAAATTTTAATCCTAACCTAGAGATCTTAAGTGATATTACCTTAATTCACTTCCAAGGGAAGCTAAGTTGAATCAAGTTCAGGTCTTTCTAATTTTGTTCTTATACAAGGATTTAGCACCATTCCAGTCACTTAGATTAAATTTCTTTCTGTCTCTAGACAAACCCTGGGGCCTGCTATCTTTCCAGTTCTGCAAATTGCACGCACTTGGGCACTCTCATTATTTCTGAAGCATTTCGTTGTCGTCTGTCACTATCAGTAATGCAGCCGTCCTCTCTCCCAGGGTATCATTCATTTTTTTTCCTCCTGCAAAGCCTGTCTCTGAAGTTTCACCTACGTTTTCACTTCTCTTTTAGGGGTTTGGAGTGTATTTTCTTAATTAGCTAGATCACTTCATTGCAACATGGCCCCACAAAGACTTGCTTCCCCTTTTGGTTATATTATGCAAACTGGTTAGAAAGTTGGGATGGGGAGAGAAGTAGGTTTAAAGTACTTCTAAATTTTAACTAAACTACTACTAATTTTAAATTAGTTCTGCTAGAGAAGCTGTGCCAACCCGAAGGTACCCTTTCTTTTCTCTAAAAGTCATCCCCAAGTACACTTTTGAATTTACTCCCTCTGCATTGCTAAAACATATTCCTGTCTTTCCATTGATAGTGGTAGCACTTCTCCAAGCCTGTTTCAACTTACATATCAACCCTGATTTCTGCTTGTTTTGTTTCTTACTTCCTTAATGTATATTAGCTTCCTATCACTCATATTTCTTAGTGCAGGGCTTGAAGCCGCTCTGAGCTTTTGAGTAACAATCTCAAAGAAGAGCACGTTATTCCTGCCAGGCAGCTGCCTCCTCCTGTCCTCAGCATTTGTTGCTGTTCCTGCCTGTTTCCCCCACACTTTTCATCTCGTTCTTGGGGCTGCTTCCTTCCCAAGATTATAACTTGGCAAGTGTTGTTCTCTGTTCACAAAGAGTGTTCCCCATTAATGAGTGATGCCAGCCTCCCTCTCATTCCTTCACAAAACAACACCATTTATTCTCTGAACAATTCTAGCTATAATTACCTAATTACCAGCATGTATAACATACCATTTAGTGCTCTTTCATGTCCTGGGCTTGCTTATGTCTCTGGAGCACTGAGTTGGGAATATTACAGTGTAGTCTCTGCCATGTACCGCATGGTGCTCCATGCTTTTATTAGACTAAACAAATAATAATTTTGCTAGTTTATATTGGCAGTACACTTGTGAATATATACAACTTGTATCTGGTTAGTTTGCCCTGTGGAAGAAGCTCTACCTGTCGCGTTTTGCACATTTGGTTGCCAATGCTCACAGCTCTGAAATGTGCACAGTGTATAACGCAGTGGAGAAAAAACAGCTCAGGAATGTGTTTTAACCTAAAATCTAAACTGCATTCACAATGCATAAAAATAACTTGAACGGTATTTCATGGCAGCCTTTTAGGGTTGGAATTGGGTTTGCTTTTGGACTTGTCTTATTAGTGGGAAAGGAGCAAATGCTACAGACTTCCACGTAGGAAGTTTACAATTCCATGGTCCGACCTGAACGCAGATAGTGAGGGTAAATTTATTAATGATGTGCTTTATTGCATCTGATTCTTCAGTGTGGTTCCTATATCCTAAAGAGGATTTTTTTTCCTCCCAAAATGAAATTGACAATTTTCCATCCCCAATAGCACTCAACGAGAAAATACAACATGAAATGACTGCTTTCTAAAACCCTTCATTTGGTTAGTTGTTGGTCATGGTGGTCTATATTCACAAAAGACTACAGTCATTTTGAAAGACATTATTTAAACAAGTCCCCTTGTATAGGGATATCGTGTATTGGAAAAGAGCCTCTTCTTTTGGGAGAGTCCTAACTTGTAACATGGCTATTTTTTAACTGAAAAATTATGCATGGGACTGAAGAATTAGTACCTTTTAGCCAACTTCAGTTTTCCCACTTAATTTTTTTTTGTCAGGAGAGCACAGTATTTAGCGGAACAATTAGAAATATCGAAGTAAAACATTTAAAAGACCAGTCTCGGAGAGTGTGAATTCAGGAGAGAGGGGAGGAGGTAAAATACAATACTTAAATAGATGAGATTTGAAGTCGATGTTCTTGCTTTTGGGAAAAAAAATAATAAAGCAGTTTATTTGCAAGTAATAATCTTTATGTATGTTGCATAAAGAATCTTGAACTAAACTTTGCATTATTTCTCTCTCTCGTCTCTCTAGGGTATACCCATGGCTTAGAGGTCTAGGCTACACATCTTTAACTGTATTTTTAATGGGATTTTTTCTCTGGAATGTGGACAACATTTTCTGTGATAAATTGAGGTGAGTTCTTTCACTTTGTCCGGATAGCTCTTAATAGTCTTTTAGCATAAAGCTTTGTTTTTTCTGTGGTGTATATTCAAGTCCATCTCATGGTATGTATGGTACGCTGCCTACGAAACATTCAGAAGGGTTTTATCCAGTTTGCTCATGACTAGATTCAGCACTCAACAGTTTTTTAATGTTGGGGTTTTTTTAATCCATGAACAGATTTATTTTTTTAAATAATTGATACTTCTCTTTAACTTCAATTTAAATCGAGAGGAAGTAATTTTGAGGATCTGTGGCTTACTAAAGCCTGCTATTCACACTTGATTTCATCTGAATTAGTTTTTTATCCTGCTTTTTTTTTGGGCTTCTGCTCTTGCCATTTCCCAGGAAAATATAAAAAGCAATAGTTCTGCAGGTTAAAGAAATATCTATTGCAATATATCTGTCACCAATAAACAACAGCTGTTCGAGCGTCTCAGAAAGAAGAGTAACTCTGGGAGCCAATACACCGTGCTTGGCTGTCATTATTAGCCTGAAGTCTTCTGGCTTAGCACTTGTAGAGGAGGCCAGGAAGGACTTCCTCTGTTTAGTGTGTTGCCAAACGAGGTAAAAAAGGCTTCCAGACAAAGCTTGTAGGAACCCACCAGCTCCTCGTATGGCTAAATATCCTGTCTGTGCAAGAAAGACCACCAGTCCAAGAGGTTGTTCTCTTCATGCGTGTTCCTTTGGAACTGGACAACTGCACCTTTCTTTTGCTTAGTTGTGATGCTTGTGTTCTGCCACAACCTGGAAGAGATGGAAAGGTTGATGCCAGCATCCAGAAAATCCATTCTTGACTGTCTGATATAATGTTATGCTGCTGAATCTGTGGTGTACAGGATTGTTCTAGTAGGTTGCTTTGTCAGGGTCGGATCATAGTGTGCTGTAAAGAAGTACAGTGTTTCCCATCTGCCCCTTTTGGCTCTGTATTCCTTGCACTAGGTTAGGCCAGCTGAAGGTTAACTCTCACAGAGTTTTCTTGAAACTTTTTTAAAAAATATAGCTGTACTGAATGTAATACATGGTGCCTCATCCCTAGAAACACTTGATACAGATGGTATAGAAAAGTTATTTGCCAACACAAGCGGGTAGGTATACAGCGACTTTGCAAGTATTGGCATCAGGGTCGATTTTTGCAGCTGCATCACATCACTGGTGAGATCATAACCCCCAATTCACCAAGCCTGCTGAGCTGCTGCAGGTCCGTGGGGCTTTTGAACTTGTTCCTAGACTCAAAGATTACACCAGCTGCTGGAGCGCTTTTTTTCCATCCTCATTTTGCAAAGGGAAAAAAAAAGTTAGCATATTTCCTGTAATACTTGTTTGGTTATGGTGCTGGAAAAAAATAAATACGCTTGTTTACTAGCTTTAATCAGATGTCTGCAGAGTGTTGAATTTCTCCAGGTGGTATTATAACTAGAACCTTTGGAGAAAATATATTCCAGTTCCTTGTAATTTTTTATTCTCTAAAGGTCTAACGTGTGAATCATCCACCTCCCTGCTCTTTTTGGTTTTAATGTTCAAAATTGTATTTTGGTTCAGTTTTTGTTTTTCCATATTTCATTAAATTTGGAGCTTATTTAAAAAAAAAAAAAAAAAAAACAAAAAAAAAAAACCAAACCAAATACACATCTGTAGCACTCAGCTTCCCTGGTTGAATCCATGTACTTTTGAACTTGAGCTTTGAGGTTTCCTGCCGTCCAGAGGCTGTGCCGGGGTGACAGTCTGTGTTTTCCACTATGTCATTCCCTGGCTGACTGAATCAAAGCTCTGTGTTCTTATTTGTGACTGAGCAGCTCTGGAAACTAAGCAGTAGCTCAGGGATTAGCATTTTGTCAGGGGGACTGAACACTAGAACATCAAGCAGTAAGTATTACAGAAGCTGCAGATTTTTCTTCCTTAACACCTGGGATCATTGTTTTTCTTTTTTTGTTTTGACTGAATGTGAAATGGAAGTCAAAAAAGAAGACAGGCAGATGCAATTTTTTTTTTTTCCATATTTTATTAAATTTGGGGCTTTTTTAAAAAAAAAAAAAAAAAAAACCAAACAAAAAACCAAACCAAATACACATCTGTAGCACTCAGCTTCCCTGGTTGAATCCATGTACTTTTGAACTTGAGCTTTGAGGTTTCCTGCCGTCCAGAGGCTGTGCCGGGGTGACAGTCTGTGTTTTCCACTATGTCATTCCCTGGCTGACTGAATCAAAGCTCTGTGTTCTTATTTGTGACTGAGCAGCTCTGGAAACTAAGCAGTAGCTCAGGGATTAGCATTTTGTCAGGGGGACTGAACACTAGAACATCAAGCAGTAAGTATTACAGAAGCTGCAGATTTTTCTTCCTTAACACCTGGGATCATTGTTTTTCTTTTTTTGTTTTGACTGAATGTGAAATGGAAGTCAAAAAAGAAGACAGGCAGATGCAAACATTTGCTCCACCATCAACCAAAATAGGCGTTATCTGCAGAAGCCTAGTGAGAGCAGAAATCGGGGCAATATGGTTCCTTCCCTTTCTTTCTCTAACCCCACCCCTTAGCCTCTTCCCACGTACTTCACACCCCTTACTGTGCAAAATACAAGGCACCTTGGCAGAGTATTTCAGCCCCTCTGCTTTCATTGCTTCCTCACTAAACACCCATTTTGTCCCTGTGTTAGAGTACAACAGGGAAAGGCAAGCTAACCTTCCACGGAGCTGGAGAATAGGTGGCGTGATTGCCAAATGTGAAGTGGTGATGTCTGATGGGTCCCATTTCCTCTCTCAGACCTTAAACTCAGCGTTGCATCCTATAGACAGTAGTTCACCATGTTTTGGGGAGGAGAATGGTAGAACTCATTTGGGACAGTGGGATGCCATAAATATATGTTAACAGAGTCAAATCCAGTTGGCAGTCGGTCACGAGTGGTGTTCCCCAGGGCTCAGTGTTGGGGCCGGTCCTGTTCAATATCTTCATTGATGATCTGGATGAGGGGATCGAGTGCACCCTCAGTCAGTTTGCAGATGGCACCAAGTGGGGTGGAAGTGTCGATCTGCTGGAGGGCAGGAAGGCCCTACAGAGGGACCTGGCCAGGCTGGGTCGTTGGGCCCAGGCCAACTGTGTGAGGTTCAACACGGCTCAGTGCCGGGTCCTGCACTTGGGGCACAACAACCCCAGGCACCGCTGCAGGCGTGGGGAGGAGCGGCTGGAGAGCTGTCTGGTGGGAAAGGGCCTGGGGGTGTTGGTCAACAGCCACCTGAACGTGAGCCAGCAGTGTCCCCAGGTGGCCAAGAGGGCCAATGGCACCCTGGCTTGTATCAAGAATAATGTGGCCAGCAGGAGCAGGGCAGGGATGGTCCCCCTGCGCTGGGCACTGGTGAGGCCGCCCCTCGAATGCTGTGCTCAGCGCTGGGCCCCTCACCCCAAGGCGGCCATGGAGGGGCTGGAGCGTGGCCAGAGCAGGGCAGCGAGGCTGGGGCAGGGGCTGGAGCCCAAGGCTGGGGAGGAGCGGCTGGGGGAGCTGGGGGTCGATGGGACGAGAGGGAACGGCCTCAAGCTGCGCCAGGGCAGGTTTGGGTTGGGTATTGGGAAAAACTTCTTCACCAAAAGGGCTGTCAGGCCCTGGCCCAGGCTGCCCAGGGAAGTGGTTGAGTCCCCATCTCTGGAGGTATTTAAAAGAAGGGTAGACGTGGTGCTCGAGGACATGGTTTAGTGGTGGGCTTGGCAGTGATAGGCTAACATTTGGACTCGATGATCTTAAGGGTCTTTTCCAACCTTAACGATTCTATGATTCTATATTACCTGAAATTTGAGTCCAGAAGTAACTGATCGCTCATTGTATGAAGAAGTGTGTGCTTTCTTTAAACATGAAAGAAAGCCAGTTTGGTAATATCTTTCTGTGCTGGCAGTATAAGGTGTAACTGCTGTTCCTCACCTGCTGAAAGCCTGACTACGTGAAGCCTCACTCGTGAAGCACACACCTGAGACAGGGAAACAGTAATGTGTGATCTGACAATGAAGCACTGCGATTTGAGATTGCTTAGCTTGAAAAAAAAACCAAACAAAACATTGCATGGTGTTTCTTACAGAGCACTACGAGAGAAGATGCCTCCTGTTGTGGGAGCTGTGACACAGTTTCATGCGTGGTGGCATATTCTCACAGGCCTGGGCTCTTACCTTCATATCCTGCTAAGGTAGGAAATGTTTTCTAAACTGGATGGTTCATAAAGCAGTCTTAGGAGTTTTCCCTGGTTCGGATTTACTTCAAAATGTATCAGTCAGAAGAGCAGGAAAATGACTTCTGGTGGGAGTTTTTCTTTTGTCTTTGCTGCTGGTCTAAAAACTCTGTAAAAGTAAATTATAATCTTCAAAATGTAATCATTAATCTTTAAAGAGTCATCGTTCTTCACGAAAATGCAATTCAGAAATGGGAACCCTGTAGCAGTTAAACTGAAAAACTATTTGACAGTACATTAATTGCAGAATGTAAGCTTTCTGTTCTTGAGCAGCAATCCTGAAGTACTTAAACATGTTCCATTTTAGAAGCATAACTAATCTTTTTGATAGGCCCTGTCGCTCCTGAAAACTAGCAGGCATCATGCTATAGAGCAGAAGGGTGATGGCTGAAGTGGTTGGAGCAGAGCTGTTCCCAGAAGTGCAGGATATTAGTTTTAGGAGACTTAAATGAGAGCCTAAGTTAGCAAGTTTGCAGCCAGCAGATTTTTGTCTCTCTTTTTGCTCTATACTACCATCTAGTGGAACCAGGAAGAAAAATAGAATTTAAGCGGGAATCTGAAGAATTTCTGTAGCTTGTTCATCGTGTCATGAAATAATATTTTACCACTTAACCATAAGAGAATGTCTGTTTAACAGATACGTTCTATGTAGTTGAGAAAACTTGATTGCATATCAGTTTTTCTGCATCTAACATAGTATTCTCCTTTTTTGTCAGATGTTAAAATAGCTAATAAAAGGAAAATGCAAGGAAAATAAGTACATTTCCAGTAGCTATTCTGATACTCTTTTTATATATACATATATATATGGATGTGTATCTATATGTACCTGTATATATAAAATATGTCATGGTATGTGGAAATCGGCTGCTCCATTTTCACTGACAGGTTGTCTGCTGCCCTAAACAGCTTGAGATAATCTTTTGAAGAAAATTCCTTACAGAAAGCAAGCTGGTGCAGAGAGTTTGGATAGCATAAGCAAGGTTTTTACCGCATGCTGCACAGAGAAAATAATTTGGGTTTTGTTGCCCCAGCCAGCAACTAGGCACCACACAGCCGCTCGCTCACTCCCCCCCGGGTGGGATGGGGAGAGAATCAGAAGAGTAAAAGTGAGAAAACTCATGGGCTGAGATAAAGACAGTTTAATGGGTAAAGCAAAAGCCGCGCCGGTTACTTGGGAAGACAAACGCCATCACGTCGAACGTCCCCCCCTTCCTTCTTCTTCCCCCAGCTTATATACTGAGCATGACGTCATATGGTATGGAATAGCCCTTTGGCCGGTCTGGGTCAGCTGTCCTAGCTATGCTCCCTCCCAGCTTCTTGTGCACCTGGCAGAGCACAAGAAGCTGAAAAGTCCTTGACTAGTGTAAACTCTGCTCAGCAAAAACCAAAACATCAGTGCATTATCAACATTATTCTCATCCTAAATCCAAAACACAGCGCTCTACCAGCTACTAAGAAGAAAACTAACTCTATCCCAGCTGAAACCAGGACAGGTTTGCATCCTCTGGCCCTTGGGGAACGTACAGATGTCTGATTTGTCTGTCCTACCCCAATGAACTACATGCTTTCCCTGCAGTAGTTTCCTTAGTACTTTCTCAGCCACACAGTGGCATCGCCTATGTCCACCTAAAAAAGTGAGGTCATACACAGGAAAAGATCTACTGAGGGGAGAGGGTGTATAAGAACAAAAATGAGACACAGAATCAAGCTATGCTGCTTCCCCCCGCCCTTAATATCTGCTGTATTTTGTGGTACGCTGATTTAATTTCATCCTTCTAAAATGACAGGCTTTAGTCCCTGTTTAGTCTTCTCCATAGTGGAGAGAGAATCTGCTTCTCTGGGTTTCTCTTTCTCCCCACATAGGTGATAAGGGTAGATTAGTTTGCTAATCATAGTCTAGCACAGAGGGATATACTGTAAGCTAATGTCTCCTGTTTTGCATAAATCTAGGCAGAATGGGTAGCTCTGCAATCACAGAAGCAGTTCTTTTCTAGTTGGAAAATAAAACTGGGATTAGTACATCATTATTATTTTATATGCTGTCTTATACATGAAATTTTAAGCACACTTTTCTCCTTTTCCTCAGTTTATACACAAGGACACTTTTCCTGAAACACAGGCCAAAGGTGAAGGTAAGCAAGCAATATTTTGTGTCCATTAATGCCCTGCAGCATTTGGATATTTTGTGCTTGGAACTTGCATTGGGGCTCACTGATTATGCCTGTTAGGGTACTGTCTTTGATTTCTACTTACATCCCAAGAAATGCAGTTGAAATGATGGTTAACAGTGTTTGGTTTCTGTTCCAAGAGACATAATATTCCAAGAAATCTTTCCCCTCTTCCTATTTTTCTTTTAACAGTTTCTTTTTGGAATATGGCCTGTTCTTCTTGTGGAGCCGCCCAAGAAGCTTTGACTGAGACGCAGGCGGTCACATGCGATCACCTAGCCAGCTGAATAAAGCGATTCAACAATTACTATGGCTGAAGTGTCAAAATTATGGATCAATTCAAGTACCGTTGCTATAAAAGGACTTCTCTGTGTTACTAGGCCAGCCGGCCAGAACAGAGCAAAGAGTTGGCGCACTAGGGAAATAATGTTTAGTACAGCTTTATTCTAAGTTGTTAAAACAAAGATTAAGACACAATATTTTTATGTATATATTGTATAGCTGATGATACTGAGCTAATATTTCGTGCTGGTCACAGAAAACTAACCATTTTTGAAGTGGATTGCATACAGTTTTCATTCAGTTGTTGTTCTTTCTGTGGTTTAAACTACTGTTAGTAACTGAATGACAAAAACAGGCCATTGATGGCCAAGCTAAGGATTTGTGTGGCCTATAGTGAGCTGAATGCTTAACCTGAACTACTTTAATCTTGCACTTTTATACAATTAATGAAGTATGTAGTGGTTGATTTAGGGCTTTATTCTGTCTTGCTTTTCCACAGCCTCCTTTGCAATCTATATTTTAAGCAAAATGGTTGGGATACCTGTGCCATTTAGTTAATTTTGTACCAAGCTTCCATTTTCTCTTTAGTCCAGCTGAGGTACATCGTGGAGGATGTTCCAGGGTGTGACCGGCAGAAGACATGCAAGATGGTGAAGCATTATAGGGGTTCTCGTTTGTGTGTGGAAACTGAATTCCTAATTTGTTTGACCAGTGATCCGTCAGGAGACTGCAGAGTGACTGTATAAACACAAGAAACACTTTTTTTATTTTTTATAATTATTATTTACATGCCTCCCTTTTCTATCCCTACTTTTTACTCCCCATGTCCCATTCATACTACAGATTGACAAACACCTTTGATGTGTGCTAGTTCAGCTTTGAATTCATCTCTTTCCCTTAGTTTACAAGTCTTAAATATTGGTCTGACTTTTAGAAGCATCTTTTTCCCTTATTTTACAAGTCTTAAATATTGGTCTGACTTTTAGAAGCATCTTCTTATTCAGGAATATTGAAGAAAGAGTAAAGAACAAGACTGATGTTCAGGATATCCCAAAATATCATTGGCAGCACTTTGCTTGCTCTTAATCTGTCCATCACATGGTTACTCTATGGAAAGTTGACCACCATTTTAAAACGAAACTTTGGGGATTAATGGGAGGGACAAACTCTCTGGTTTCTGCAATTTTTATCTACCCAGCTGATGAAAGTTAATAAGCAAGCATGAAGAAAACATTGAACTAATACAGTGTTTCAAAATATACCTCATATCGGAGGCTGTGGTTTTGACTCTTCAGATCTTGGGGCAACTAATGGAGTCTGTCTCTGGGCCTCCTAGCTGCCATGCTATGCAATTTTTTTCTGCTTTTGATGCTCTGAGGGATTTATCCTTCTTGCCATGAAGGAAAAAAGGGAAATGGTCAGACTGATTGGAAATCTCATTCTGTATTGATTTAAAATGTTCCCACAGCAGCAAGGCACACTCATGTAGCTATAAAGCTGTCTCCCAGATCACAAAGTCCTGGCCAGTGTAAGCTTCCTTGCTCCGACTGCTGAAAAAGTCGGACTGAAATCTGTATTGTACAATCAACGCTGACTAAAATGGTCTCCTCCCTTTAATATCTTTTTTCTTTTCTCCTGTTTGGAGCTTAGCTGCATCCTCCGTGTCCATCAGTAGCACTCCTGCTGATGTGAATCTCCAAATCAAATCGTGGCTTTTGTTATGTGACTGACCCTGGACTCTTGGGATCAAATAGACCCAAACTCAGGGTTAGAAAAAGATACTTAACCGTGAGTGACTTCAGTGAGGTTTAAGCACATGCTGATAGCGGTGCATTTCAACCTGTAATCAGCAAACCACTATAAAGATTCTCGAATGAAAATTTTGAAACAGATTTGTTGTTAGTAGGCTCTGGTTCCATAGACAAGGTCAGCATCTGTGTTGGGAAATTTGAGTGATCTTCAGTCTGAAAGACGTTGGAATAATGAGCATAGAGGTAGGAACATGCTGTCTTGGATCAAGTGTCTTTAATTATCCAGAAGGCTTATTTTTTTGTAAAGGGATTTGAGAACTGTTTTAAAAATGTAGCTTAAAAATAAGTGCCTGCCTGTTCACCTCCAGGCTCTCTCAAGCATGCTTCTGTACCCTGTATCCGATTTTCTTATTAGTATGTTTACATGTTTTCATAAGTTAGGGAACGAGTCCCGTAACAGGAGCAGTGCAGCAACGAGACCTATCAACAGTCACTTGTGACATCTGCTAGGTATGGTATAATTTTTAAGAAAACGAACAAACCCTTTATTTTAGTGGCCTTAGTTTTGTTACTGGAGGATCCTGGGGGCTCTGTTTGGTTTCCCTGTAATTGCAGGAACCAGAGCGTGCTGAAAAGCCACTTTCTTATTCATAAGGCATCTCTACAATGGTAAATTTTAAAGAAATTTGTTGGTTCTCCTACACATTTGCAAGTAGGAAGTATACGTTTCTTTTCAAATCTTGTTGAATTAAATTGTCAGGATTTAAGAAAAAAGTTGGAAAAGCCCTTGTTTTAATTTTATGCTGCCGTTAGCTTTCCATTCACATATCATTTGTCACTGATGTTTTTATCTTTAAAAAAATTATGCAAATTGGCTTCTTCCTTCATTCCAAATGACCAAAAAAGTGCACACCTCTACCACCCTTCCAGCAGCCTTTCTTTCAGGTTATGTTAGACCCTGAAGAATGTAATTTATGTGTGTATCCTTCTAAGCATAAATAATCTAAAATTATGGGTGCTTTGGTTTCACTGCCTTACTGATCTTGTGAGTGATATTGAAAATGGCAAGCCAGTTTTAACTGCATGTCACCGAAATTCAGACTGCCTTTTCTAGTGCCTGGAAAGACATACATCCTTACTCCTGTAATGTGTTAAATGTCTGTTAAATTGCTTTTTATTTATATCATTTGTAGGACAAGCTGATTTTTTTCTACAAACCTTAAGAGCAGCATATTCCAAATTTTTCTTGCACTACATCTTATAAGGTGGGTCATCTTTGATCCTATTTTTTGAGTAGGATTCAGACAGCAGCTACTTTAAAGGGAATTAGAGAAGTAGCAGGTGTCGTTTAATATGAATCCTACAGGATGTGTTGGACAGGCTTGATAGCAATGAACTCGTCTTTAACATCCATGAAGAACCAGGAAATCTGCTACCTTACAACCATCGGCTTGGCACAGATCAGCAGCAAGTAGCTCTGCAGACCGTAAGCTGAAAAATTCTTCCTTGGAAATAAAAGAAAAACCTCAAAATTACTCTCCCAGTACAGATCAACACCATACTTTATGCCAGGAATCTAGATTTTCTGGATACAGCTCAAGACATGCATTATCCAGAAGTGAAAATAAGACATGATAAACAGAAATCTGCCATCAGGACGAATCTCATCTGTGTTTTGAAGGCAGTGGTGTTAGCTAGCAGTATTAGTCATCTCCAGACTTCATTTTAATGTTTTTTTTTTCTTCTAGCACAAGGAAGATGTGCTACCCGCCAGTGTTTGGGAGACTACCCCATAGTCAGAATTGGAATATGCAGTCTGTCACTTGCCGATCTACCTCTGTCATGTATTGTACAATACCTGTGCCCTTAATTATAGCTGCCTGAATGCGCAGGCGTTAGCGCAGCCTGACTTAGACCCTGCAGCCCCTGAGGGTTGCAGCAGCATTGTACTGATCCGCGGCTGGCTCTGCTCGCTCTGCGTAAGCATCCTGACTTGTTCGGTGTCTGCCGCTTTTAGGTTGTGCTCAGTCTGCCCTTCATCTGCGTGCAGAAGTCTGGCTGCTTTAGAAAGAGATACGAGTAGGGGGACTTTAATTCAGACAGGTGAAGTGAAACCTTTTGGGCAGTGAAGTTACATTTAAAGCTAGGATGCAAACAGTGTAACTTGTTTTACATGATTTTGGAAGAGACGCGATGGAAAATACTGTTTTTTAATTATCTTTAATTCTCTCTTAATCTAATATTGTGCCGTCTCGTTTGGCTGAAGGGAGATCGTATGATTTGAAATGCGGCTGATTCTTTTGGCTGTAGTGCATTGGCTTCCAACACCTGGTTTCAAACAGCTGAATGAGTTTTTCAGCTAACTCCTCCATGTGAAACTCTTAGGAACAGAAAATCCTCCCGGTATCACGAGTGTTTCCCACAGTCACTACCACCTTGTTTAGTTCGCATTCAAGAATTTTGGTAATACTGTTTGGTTTTTTTTTTTAAATCTGTTTCTCTCTGTGGATATGTTTTTCGCATTTGATAGCAGGTGGTGAAACAATTCAGTATAACTCTTCTCGGTGGAAGACGAGCTCTAGCAAAGCAGCGCTGCTGTTTTCTTCAGTAGACCCCAGAATCCAGGAACACACCTTAATTTTGGCAGAACGTGTGCCCCGTAATTTAAATTAACATATTCAGGTAAAACAGTTTACTGTAAAGAAACCCTATCTGCACTTTATAAGTAGACGGTGGGAGGCTTTAACTGCAAAGTACTGTTTAACTGTGAGACTTTAGTATGAAGAGGGATAAAGGACGGAGTCTTTATTACCCATGAGAAGCAAAAGCCAGAAGGAGATTAAGAATAACAAAAGATTAAGCGCAGAATCCCGTAGTATTACGTCAGCCACCCTTCTGAGAACTGCACTTTAGATGCTTATGTAACAAGCTTGAATGTTTTGCTATTTATACATTTAATTTTCCATGCTGACTCTTCACTCTTTACCATAGAAGTGATGTAGACTCTGTTACATTCGGTCCATTGTAGATTATTCAGCTGGTTTGGTTTTTTTTATGAGGATGGAACGTGACACAGATTGTTTCGTACGTGAATGAATTCATTTCTTATCCATCTGGAACGTCCTCTGCCAGCTTTGAGAGTCCGTAACGTAACTACAGAGAATATACTGTATAACTATTAAGACTGGTTTTGGATTTCTTCGTTCAGTTTCTCGCTCATGACTGCCGACGGCTGCCAAGTGCCTGATCTCTTTGTCGCAAGTCTTTTCTGAGAGCTGAGGCTGTGTTTTCTCCTGGGGTCCATAAGACAAGGTCCTCGGTAGGTGGGAGGTCAGCTTGGTTTTTGTTAAAAATTCTCCTACCGCAGGAGTCACAGCACTCTCTTTAGTCGCTTTCCAGAAATGTAGTTATCCAGTACATGACTGCCTCTGCTTGGCTCAAACTTGTGCCTGACTACCCCACGTCCCTGATGCTGTCCTGTCTTCTCAGATTTTGAAGGCTGGTTGAGGGACGTAGCCCCACAGCTGGTGTTCAGCGCAGCGTGTGTAGTCCAGCGACAGGCACTCTGAGGGCACAACAGTCAAGCAAGCGCCTTACGCAGGGCCCCATTACTGGAGCTCCCAGCCAGATGCCTCAAACAGGACTGGGGCTATGGGGCTTCAGATGTACAATTTTAGGGGCAGGGTTGATGCCTGAACCTCTTACTTTACTTCAGAACTCTCTACTTGTTGAAAGTGTTTAGATTTGATGAAGCACATAATTGCAGATTTAAGAAGAACCAAGTTCAGAATCCAGCTAACGCAAGACCCTAAACCAGTGCCTG